TTGACAAAAATAAAAAAAAAAAAAAACAATGATTGCTCTCACAAAAGGACAAAATTAATGAGTTACGACAATAAGGTTTAACATAATGGGCAAAAAAGAGATTCCGAAAGGTCACGTGACGAACTGACCGTTTCTGTTGCCGTGTCCTCGTAACTTCCTGTCTTGTCTGTGAAATGTTGTCACGAGGTGAAACACAACGCCACAGGGTGTCTTGATTTTGTATTAAGATTCAAGTCAAGAGAACGACATAATCAGTAAAAAAAAATGACAGCCGTTGCCACCCAAGCAGTAGGGTTTCAAACTTCATTACTGGCAACATGAAATTAGCAGGTACAGAGCCTAAGAAATGAGCATGATATTTGATACTGATTGAAGCCAAGCCATTGTGACATGCAGTCAGATATATGATGTCACACTCGCACATTACCTAGGGATCTCAAAAATAAATATTTGGTAGAGATGACTTCACATTTTGCACAGTTAAAAAGATCGTGTGATGATATGGATCCAGAATTTGTTTCTTTCAGTGTGATTTATAACAAAAGTCACCCCCCCCCCCCAAATTTAGTTCGTCAGAGGCTTATTAAAATAAAACATTCAAAGACCAGCTTCATAAATCTTGCGTCAAACGGAAACCCGTCCTCTTTTATTTACGATAAACGAGAGTTTTATTTTATGTTAAAACAATACATCACCATTTAGTTTTGACCTGTGGAACGCTGTTCTGGCACGGGTTGTTCCTACAGCACTGATTTCACCCTCGGGAGACTCTATCGCCAAAGAGTCCGCCCGCACAAGTTGGTCTCGATCACGCCGGTGAACATTTTAACAGCCTCTTCAGATTTCAAACGCCACTTTTAAGCTTGTAGTGTATTTCTTTCTATTTAAGAGTACGCAAAAATCGTTGGTAGGAGTTTTGAGCATCTTGCATAACAGCGTTGCAATATACAGTAAGCATGCTAAATTTCCATCGCTGAAAGTTGGTTTAAACGACTTCTCGTTTTCTCTGAGGGCGCCTGTCATTGGCTAGCACTGGAAAAATAGTCAAACGAGACCCAAACCGGGACAATGAAGGTTTACCTACAGATATTATAAAAAATGAATATAGTGTATGTAAAAAGTTTACTTACTCCTAAAGCTGTTTTACAGGTTAATATAAGTGAGTTTTAGAGCGTGTGAATGTGATTTTATGTTATCATGTATACTGTGTCAATTCCATGAAATAAAGCGTCAAAAACTATGTATATATAAATTTGTAACATTTTATTAAATGGATTTTTTTTTATTATTTCTGAGTTTACAGTTTAGGTAGAACGGTTTGTAAACAGACTTAGGGCGAACACTGACTTAGTGTGATAGAACACCGACTTAGTGTGTAAGAACACCGACTTAGTGTGCTAGAACACCGACTAAGTGTGGTAGAACTCCGACTTAGTGTGGTAGAACTCCGACTAAGTGTGGTAGAACACCGACTTAGTGTGATAGAACATCGACTTAGTGTGATACAACACCGACTTAGTGTGTTAGAACACCGACTTAGTGTGGTAGAACACCGACTTTGTGTGGTAGAACACTGACTAAGTGTGTTAGAACACCAACTTAGTGTGTTAGAACACCTACTTAGTGTGGTACAACACCGACTAAGTGTGTTAGAACACCAACTTAGTGTGCTTGAACACCGACTTAGTGTGATAGAACACTGACTTAGTGTGGTAGAACACCGACTTAGTGTGTAAGAACCCCGACTTAGTGTGTTAGAACACCGACTGAGTGTGGTAGTACACCGACTTCGTGTGGTAGAACCCTGACTTAGTGTGGTAGAACATCGACTTAGTGTGATAGAACACCGACTTAGTGTGGTAGAACACCGACTTAGTGTGATAGAACATCGACTTAGTGAGGTAGAACACCGACTAAGTGTGATAGAACACCGACTTAGTGTGTTAGAACACCGACTTCGTGTGGTAGAACATTGACTTAGTGTGGTAGAACACCTACTTAGTTGGATAGAACACTGACTTAGTGTGGTTGGACATCGACTAAGTGTGACAGAACATTGACTTAGTGTGTTAGAACACCGACTGAGTGTGGTAGAACACCGACTTAGTGTGTTAGAACACTGACTTAGTGTGGTAGAACCCTGACTTAGTGTGGTAGAACATCGACTTAGTGTGATAGAACACCGACTTAGTGTGGTAGAACACCGACTTAGTGTGATAGAACATCGACTTAGTGAGGTAAAACACCGACTAAGTGTGATAGAACACCGACTTAGTGTGTTAGAACACCGACTTAGTGTGTTAGAACACTGACTTAGTGTGGTAGAACCCTGACTTAGTGTGGTAGAACATCGACTTAGTGTGATAGAACACCGACTTAGTGTGGTAGAACACCGACTTAGTGTGATAGAACATCGACTTAGTGAGGTAAAACACCGACTAAGTGTGATAGAACACCGACTTAGTGTGTTAGAACACCGACTTCGTGTGGTAGAACATTGACTTAGTGTGGTAGAACACCTACTTAGTGTGATAGAACACTGACTTAGTGTGGTTGAACATCGACTAAGTGTGACAGAACATTGACTTCGTGTGGTAGAACACTGACTTAGTGTGATAGAACACCGACTTAGTGTGTAAGAACACCAACTTAGTGTGCTTGAACACCGACTTAGTGTGATAGAACACCGACTTAGTGTGTTCTCCCCAAGTTTCATAAGATTAGTTTTTATCTAAAACAGTACAATGCTCCATTGAGATTCAAAATACACATCAATAGGATTTTTATCTTTTATATAAAACCAAATGTTTTAGTCAAATTATTGAAGAGTTGATTTGATATAGATTTTTTATTCAAAAGTGGTATATATCCGTGGTGGTGAAAACAGCCCGATGGACGACCGGTTTGAAACTTGATTTATTTAAACATTTTAGATCTGTGTAACATAGTTTATACCATTTCTCGCTCTTAATTACATTCATGAATGATATCAGATCGTCCGTTTATCTATGTAAATGTTCGAAATTTTCGCCCAATTTTATATATCTTTCAGTGTATTAGGTTCCGGCGTGCAGCAATTTCATTGGCTAAAACACATTAACTTATTTGCACTTTTCGGACTTAAGGATGTCTAGATATCGCACACAGATATGTCTCGAGGTGTTCCACTGAGATTTAGTGAGTCTTTTCGTTACAACGTAACTCCTTTATCTTGTATAAAAATGATGCTTTGTGTGGAGGTACTTTAGGGAAGATTACATCTTAGCCAGACCCTAAGGAATTAGTACACATGCACTTAAAATCGACGTTTGGAACAATGACTAGAAATCCTCTTTGTAGATAAATGCATGTCAGCTCTGACAAAATACAGACTAAATGTTGGTATCAACAAATTTAAATTATTTGAATTTTAGTAACCTTTTGTGAATTGTTTACTTGACAAACATATTACATGTTGTGATAAATATTGCAAAGTGTGTACATATGTTACACTGTGTTGGTCAATGCAGTATTTCTCATGAAAATTTCGATTCACGTTGTTTAAACTCTGTTTTCAACACATATTTAACTTGTTCCAAAATATTCAAAAGCTCATGTCGATTTCATACCCGTCTGTGTAATCATAGCTAACATATAACAGATAATTTTATGTGATAACAGTTTTTGTCACCCTGTCTTTAATGCAAAACAACTATGATAAATGCAAAAATCAAACATCGTTAACTTTTTATTTCATTAAAAGGATTTGATACTTTTTATACATTTTGTTCTTTAGCAAAATACCCCCAATATTAAATGAACTCATGCACACACACAACCACACAACAGAGGGCAAACAAAAACAGAGAGAGAGATAGAGGGGGGAGGGGGAGGAAGAGAGAGACACACACAGAGTAGAGAGAGAGAGAGATAGAGGAGTCACACACACACAGAGTAGGAGAGAGAGAGAGAGATAGAGGTGTGGAGGTAGGGGAGGAAGAGAGACACACACAGAGTAGGAGAGAGAGATAGAAGGAATTAGAGAGAGACACACAGAGTACACAAGGTTGGAAGAGAGAGACACACACAGCTTGTGCTGACAAAATATCTGATTTATGTTGGTCTGCAATGCAAATTTAAATTATTTGAGTCCTTTGTTTGCTTTGGCGTTGATTGTTTACTTGACAAACATATTGTGTTGATGTTTGTTGTGATAAATATTGCAAAGTGTGTACATATGTTACACTGTGTTGGTCAATGCAGTATTTCTCATGAAAATTTCGATTCACGTTGTTTAAACTCTGTTTTCAACACATATTTAACTTGTTCCAAAATATTCAAAAGCTCATGTCGATTTTATACCCGTCTGTGTAATCATAGCTAACATATAACAGATAATTTTATGTGATAACAGTTTTTGTCACCCTGTCTTTAATGCAAAACAACTATGATAAATGCAAAAATCAAACATCGTTAACTTTTTATTTCATTAAAAGGATTTGATACTTTTTATACATTTTGTTCTTTAGCAAAATACCCCCAATATTAAATGAACTCATGCACACACACAACCACACAACAGAGGGCAAACAAAAAACAGAGAGAGAGATAGAGGGGGGAGGGGGGGAAGAGAGAGACACACACAGAGTAGGAGAGAGAGAGAGATAGAGGGGGGAGGGGGGAGGGGGGAGGAAGAGAGAGACACACACACAGAGGAGAGAGATAGAGGGGGAGAGAGAGAGAGAGAGAGAGAGAGAGAGAGAGAGGAGAGAGAGAGAGAGAGATAGAGGGGGAGGAGGGGAGGAGAGAGACACACACAGAGTAGGAGAGAGAGATAGAGGGGGGAGGAAGAGAGAGACACACAGAGTAGGAGAGAGAGAGAACTACAAGGTTGGAACGAGATTTAGAGATGATTAATGTGACAAGTACATATATATTCATTATCTGTAGTGGAACGGGAAAACACCTGTTTCCCTTTTTAGTGTATTCACGCGTTGTGCCTGTGCCACGTTGGTACTGTGTTATCTGCTGTGGCATTGATCCTGGTTCCGTTGTCTGCTGTGATGCTGATCCTGACCCCGTTGTTTGCTGTGATGTTGATCCATGTCCCGTAGTCTGCTGTGATGTTGATCCATGTCCCGTTGTTTGCTTTGGCGTTGATCCTGGTCCCGTTGTTTGCTGTTGTGTTGATCCTGGTCCCGTTGTTTGTTGTGATAAATATTGCAAAGTGTGTACATATGTTACACTGTGTTGGTCAATGCAGTATTTCTCATGAAAATTTCGATTCACGTTGTTTAAACTCTGTTTTCAACACATATTTAACTTGTTCCAAAATATTCAAAAGCTCATGTCGATTTTATACCCGTCTGTGTAATCATAGCTAACATATAACAGATAATTTTATGTGATAACAGTTTTTGTCACCCTGTCTTTAATGCAAAACAACTATGATAAATGCAAAAATCAAACATCGTTAACTTTTTATTTCATTAAAAGGATTTGATACTTTTTATACATTTTGTTCTTTAGCAAAATACCCCCAATATTAAATGAACTCATGCACACACACAACCACACAACAGAGGGCAAACAAAAACAGAGAGAGAGATAGAGGGGGGAGGGGGAGGAAGAGAGAGACACACACAGAGTAGGAGAGAGAGAGAGATAGAGGGGGGAGGGGGGAGGGGGGAGGAAGAGAGAGACACACACACAGAGTAGGAGAGAGATAGAGGGGGGAGGGGGGAGGAAGAGAGAGACACACACACAGAGTAGGAGAGAGAGAGAGAGATAGAGGGGGAGGAGGGGAGGAAGAGAGACACACACAGAGTAGGAGAGAGAGATAGAGGGGGGAGGAAGAGAGAGACACACAGAGTAGGAGAGAGAGAGAACTACAAGGTTGGAACGAGATTTAGAGATGATTAATGTGACAAGTACATATATATTCATTATCTGTAGTGGAACGGGAAAACACCTGTTTCCCTTTTTAGTGTATTCACGCGTTGTGCCTGTGCCACGTTGGTCCTGTGTTATCTGCTGTGGCATTGATCCTGGTTCCGTTGTCTGCTGTGATGCTGATCCTGACCCCGTTGTTTGCTGTGATGTTGATCCATGTCCCGTAGTCTGCTGTGATGTTGATCCATGTCCCGTTGTTTGCTTTGGCGTTGATCCTGGTCCCGTTGTTTGCTGTTGTGTTGATCCTGGTCCCGTTGTTTGTTGTGGCGTTGATCCTGGTCCCGTTGTTTGCTGTGGCGTTGATCCATGTCCCGTTGTTTGCTTTGGCGTTGATCCTGGTCCCGTTGTTTGTTGTGGCGTTGATCCTGGTCCCGTTGTTTGCTGTGGCGTTGATCCTGGTCCCGTTGTTTGCTGTTGTGTTGATCCTGGTCCCGTTGTTTGCTGTTGTGTTGATCCTGGTCCCGTTGTTTGCTGTGGCGTTGATCCTGGTCCCGTTGTCTGCTGTGGCGTTGATCCTGGTCCCGTTGTTTGCTGTTGTGTTGATCCTGGTCCCGTTGTTTGTTGTTGTGTTGATCCTGGTCCCGTTGTTTGCTGTTGTGTTGATCCTGGTCCCGTTGTTTGCTGTTGTGTTGATCCTTGTCCCGTTATTTGCTGTGATGTTGATCCTGACCCCGTTGTTTGCTGTGATGTTGATCCATGTCCCGTAGTCTGCTGTGATGTTGATCCATGTCCCGTTGTTTGCTTTGGCGTTGATCCTGGTCCCGTTGTTTGCTGTTGTGTTGATCCTGGTCCCGTTGTTTGTTGTGGCGTTGATCCTGGTCCCGTTGTTTTTGCTGTGGCGTTGATCCTGGTCCCGTTGTTTGCTGTTGTGTTGATCCTGGTCCCGTTGTTTGCTGTTGTGTTGATCCTGGTCCGGTTGTTTGCTGTGGCGTTGATCCTGGTCCCGTTGTCTGCTGTGGCGTTGATCCTGGTCCCGTTGTTTGCTTTTGTGTTGATCCTGGTCCCGTTGTTTGTTGTTGTGTTGATCCTGGTCCCGTTGTTTGCTGTTGTGTTGATCATGGTCCCGTTGTTTGCTGTTGTGTTGATCCTGGTCCCGTTATTTGCTGTTGTGTTGATCCTGGTCCCGTTGTTTGCTGTGGCGTTGATCCTGGTCCCGTTGCTTGCTGTTGTGTTGATCCTGGTCCCGTTGTTTGTTGTGGCGTTGACCCTGGTCCCGTTGTTTGCTATTGTGTTGATCCTGGTCCCGTTGTTTGCTGTTGTGTTGATCCTGGTCCCGTTGTCTGCTGTGGGCTGATCCTGGTCCCGTTGTCTACTCTGGCGCTGATCCCGGTTATGTTGTCTAATGTTGTGTTGCTCATGGTCCCGTTGTCTGTCATGACGTTGATCCTAGTCTCGTTATCTGGTGTGCTCTTGACCCTGGTCTCGTCTGCTGTGGAATTGACCCCGGTCCCGTTGTTTGTTGTGGCGTTGAGTCCAGTCCTAATGTCTGCTGTGGTGTTGACCCTTACCCCTATGTCTGCTGTGGTGTTGACTATGAACCTGCTTTTTGCCGTGGTAATGATCCTAGACTGATTGTTTGCTGCAGCTGATCCAAGGATCTGCAATATACCATACTAAGAAGGATCAGTATATCGACAAATTTACAGTACTATTGTAAAATCGCCTACACGATACAACCTCCGGCTTGCATCTTCAGCATGACAGGTACCACTGCTTGCATTAGTATTACTGTTTGTAGGGGGATCGAAGGAAACTATATACAGGGAAAATACCAGCGCAGCACTCATTTTGTGTGACTCTTTACGCCCACTCGCTTAGATATATACCTGTATATAACATGTAGACATTTTCTTGATAAAGATATTTGTGATGATGAAGAAAAACACAGCATGTCCAGACCTGACATAAAAAAAACAAAATTGTTCATTCATTCAATTGTAAGATATCATGTCCGGTTTGGATGGAGCCTTGTAAGAACTTAAATCTGATCAATGATATAGCCTACAACGGTCTGCAAATAAGAAAAATGTTACTGAAAAAATACTGACCGCTGTTGAACCCCAACAAAATTTATTAGAGTTGAAATACTAATCTTTTGGCCTTTAAACTACACCCTTTACCAGTTCTCGATTTTCCTGGAATTTTCACCAAATATTCTTGACAGAAGGGTCCAAATAATACATCGAGACTTTTGGTGCACTCAAACTGAAAGTAGATGCTTCAGTTCTTTGAAAAATTGTCTTACCTGGAAAAATATCAAAAAAGGGAAAAAACATATTTTTATTTTTTTTAATTTTTTTATTTTTTTATTTTGCAATATTTTGATACATATTTACCACCATATTGTCAAACTGATCTTTGTTAATCAAACCGTGTATCATTTCGTAATGTGCGCTGTGGTTTTAATACTTTTTTCAGACGAAAAACATAACCATGTCTCAATTGTATGGTAACGACACTAAATGGGTCGTAGCACAGGCCCTATGGACCTTTTGAATCTTTTAAATCTTATTTCATGGGTAGTCACTCAAAGTCGATCTCAGCCCCGATTGGCTGTCAAGCTAAGACAGGGTGAAACTAAGGGAAGTAACTCTGAGAGATAAGAATGGAGGCTAATACATCTTTCCGTCTTGATCTTGACATTTCTTTCGATTGATTTTTATTTTGTTTTTTTTCTCTGTTGTCTCTTAGGTTTCAAAATTAAGCGGCTTCTTGTGCATCACTGACGAGTGCTAGAAAAGCGCGCTAATTACATTTAATTCATTAAGTGACTCTTCTTTATCTTTATCATTGGTACATTCTCTTGTTACTTCTAGGTTAGACTATGGTAACGCGTTACTCGTTGGTGTAGCTGATACACTACTGAGCCGCCTGCAGAGGGTACAGAACACCGCAGCACGCCTAGTTACCCGTACTCGAAAGAGGGACCACATTACACCAGTCCTTTACTTATTGCATTGGCTGCCCGTGCGATTCCGGTTACAGTACAAGATTTTGATGTATACATACAAGGCAATAAATGGAACAGCTCCTGAATATTTGCAGGAACTTGTCACCGTTTATCGGCCGTCACGATCACTACGATCGGAGACAGAATCCTTGTTGTGCGTTCCGAACTCTCGGACTGTGACTTATGGTAACCGATGCTTTGGAAAGGTATCGGCCACTTTGTTGAACAGCTTACCATCTGCTACTAGAAAGTCAAAATCCCTGGCCAAATTCAAGAGGGATATTAAAACCCACCTGTTTACGTCTGCATTTTAGACTCTCACGCAGACGTCCTGTATATACATACTTTCACCACTACTTACTTGATTTGGTTACTGTGTTACATATGTTGATTACTGTGTTATACATGTTCTGTAAATTTTGTAGTAAGATTATTATGTCATTGTGAAGCGCATTAGAGTATTTTGTCAAAATAGATAGTGCGCTATATAAATGTTGTATATTATTATTATTATTATCTCATTTTAATTGGTATCTAAATATGCAATTCACTTGTGTGTCTTTTGTTCAATCTTCTGGTTACATATACGTTAAAACAGTGTCAGTTTTTGTGAATTCAATTTAACAATAACCCAAATAGCGAGACTCTGTATATCCCGATAGATAACAGTTTTGTCATTTGTCAATTCTTCTCTAGAATTTGCCATTAAGTATGAAAAACATTACACTGAAAAAAAAACCCTCAAATACAGTCTTATACAGATTAAAAGGTATTACAAGAGAAGGAGTATTATAGTATTGAACACTTTTTATCTAGAAACTGAATAACTGAATTTATTATTTGCCTCTTTTTAGAAAAAAATATAAATATATTTAGACAAATACCAATATTCACTATGAGTACACCTGAAATGCTACGTTTCACAAAATAAAAGAAAGACGAAAAATAAAGAAAAGAAAAATGGTAAGAGAAAAAAAACTTTTTAACAGTTGGTTTAAATTCTTAAGGATTTACAATACATTGAGTGAAGGCGGTAAGTCTAGTAGAGTCCTTTTATATGCTCGGTTTGTCCGATTCATCTGGTTTGAGAGCTGTATTCAAAATAGAAGCTAGGTCCAAGTGACATGTAATGTAATTTTCTCGCAATAATGGCTCTTACGGTGGAAAACAACACGAAAATGGCATAAGAATGGAACAACAGCGATCAAAGCGGTCACATGGTAGGTATTCTGAATGATAGATGTCGTACGTCACTTGTTAGTCAATGTTTCCTACCAGAGAATATTCAATTTACGCAGGAATTGTCGGAATAAGGCCACAAACCATACGTGTTTTGTCTTTTATGATATTTTAAAATCCTTTGATCAGCGTGAAAACCCTATGGAATGGGCAGACCGTTATGGGTCTAGTCATCACTTACATCGAAGGCTTAATGTTAATGAATTGCTTTTAGAATTAGGTTTTATGGATCCTGATGTTCCCCAGGGTTCAATCTTAGGTCACCTATCATTGGTTCATATAAACGATATAACAGATGTCTTGGATTTAGCTTCTCGTCTTTACGCAGATAATACATCACTTCAGTGCCCCCCCCCCCCACAACCCACAACCCACAACCCCCCCCCCCTCCCCATTTGTTCCTGTCTTGAAATTCAATCAAATCCTAATGAAGACATCGAATCTTTGAACTACATGTGGGTATAAAGCCTAATTGGTTTGTGTTAGTCCTGATAAAAGTGAAGTACTTTTTATTTCTGATAGAAAGTTATGTGATATGGAATTTGACGGAACCTTATAAGATTTTACGGAGATTCAAAAGCATCTTAGTATCAAATTTAACGGAAGTGTCAAATGGGGGAAGTATACAGAAACTGTGTAGTCAGTTATGATAACAAAAGTTTGGACAACATTATAATTTGTCTCCTGTGTTTCTGTTGTTCACAGGAGTGGTTTATGGGGAATGTTTCCTTCGGTGCTTCCTGTTGTTGCCTTCAGATGTGTATATTTTTGTAATCTATTTTTATTTTGTATTCACTAATGATGTAACTGTATATATGTTCCCGTTAAAAAAAATGTTTCAGTGTTGTTATTTTGGTAAAAATTGAGAGTCTGGTGCTGGATTTCCATTTGCGGGCTACATATACCTCCAGGCACACCGAAAAGTGGTCGTCGACATCGGTATGTCACGTGATTGGTTTCATCGACATTGATCTGACTATATGAGCAATATTGGGAGTGATAAATGACTAACTGTTAGGAAAATAAATGATTTGAGATACTATCGATGTGGAAGTATGGGTAAATATGAAGCCTGGCCCCAATCTGGAACTTCTGTCATTAGGTAGTGATAAAGAATCGGGACGGGGAAAATTTATTGAGGAAGGATGTATATATGGAACGGACAGTAATCGGGAAGATAAAATATATCAATGGGAAAAGTCAAAAGGATTGATTCGGACTTGGTCAAATTTAGGCCCTGACAGAATATTAGGGTCTGGGGAAATGTTAGGGCATGGGGAATGTTAGGGCCTGATAGAAAGTTACGCCCTGACGGAATGTAAGGCTCTGACAGATAGTAACACCCTGACAGAATGTTAGGCCCTAGGAGAATGTTGGGCCCTGATAGAATGTTAGGCCAATGTTGGGCCCTGACAGAATGTTGGGCCCTAGGAGAATGTTGGGCCCTGAATGAATGTTAGGCCCTAGGAGAATGTTGGGCCCCGACAGAATGTTAAGCCCAAGGAGAATGTTGGGCCCTGAGAGAATGTTAGGCCCTAGGAGAATGTTGGGCCCTGACAGAATGTTAGGCCGTAGGAGAATCTTAGACCCTGACAGAATGTTCGGCACCGGGAGAGGTTCCATGGAAACAGCGATATCTACAATTTCTTTCGTGTTTAATGACAGTTTCATTAATTTCATTTAAATTTGTTTCGTTTATGTTTTCAAATGATATTTTTCTTGAATATATATGCATAGTCAGATAACTAATTACAAACAGGATAAAAGATATGAATAGATTCGAGGTGCCCCATTTAACCCCTGAAGCATACAGCAGTACCGGCTATATCACTGATCCGGAAACATGTTCAGTTCTCGTTATCCACTCTCT